TAGTGTAACATATGAAGTCCTTTTTGTTTGAGTAACGTATTGTTTAATTACATATAAATTACTACGCCAGATCCTCACGTGAATAACATAGAATTAGGCACACGTTCATACCATCGTTTCACCTTATTTTATGACTTGTTATTTTCGTGTTATTAGATAGAGTATAGACATTTGAACATTTACATGCACGTTTAATGCGTTCCTCGTGAAACCTGCTTTAAAGTGTGATCTATTGAACTTACATGATAAAGGAACATATCGTACAGAGGTTACTATGGTGGTGGGTTTTTCTTGTTTGTATTTGTCGATATGAACACAGTGTGATATTGACGTTGTGGTGAATTTTGTTCATTCTTGTCGACGCTATGGATGATTTTGTTCTTGTGTGTTGATCATATAGTATGTGTTGACGTTGGGTGTATTTTGTCCTTGTGTGTTGACGTTGGGTGTTGCTGTGGGATGTTTTGTCTTTGTGACGCTCTATATTTTTGTGTATTCTTCTATACTTTTTTTACAACGTGGGCCTACATGATGAAACAACCAACAGTTGTATCACGTTCGTACATATGCTTTGTTCTACTTACATATTGGTATCCGAGATCAAACGCTCACAATAACGAGTCATCTATGAATATCCGGTATCTGGAGTCCTTTTATTCCCATAGGTTACCGTAATTATTTACTATTCCAAAACAAACAATAACACGTCTATTTATAGCGAATATCTGATTACTTCATGTTACCAAGGGGAATTTTAAATGCCAAAACAATCTACGTATCACTCATATCAGATATAAACTGCAGCTCAGGAATACAACCAATGAATTAATCTTACTATATAAATACAATTGTTTTTGAGATAGATATTTGATCGGCACCATCTTGATTACAGATTTATGCCCAGCATGATAAAGATAAAGGCTATATTATTGTCAGTAAATCTTTGCCCTTAATAAATTTAACATATCTTTGGAATAGAATATATACAGCCCAGAACATATATGTAAAACATAAAAAGTAAAATTGATGGTACCACGCACCATCAGTACGAGGTTGAAAGTATAATGGAGGGCGGAGAGATCTGTGATCCGGCTAGATGTGCCCACACACATCAATCCATTTATTTACAATCTGATTTCGGCCAACTTAATTGGTCGTGTGAGCTGTGTGGTTGGTATTCTTAGTATATCCGGTATCAAGAATATATCTTTCAGTCAAAGTTTAATTTATTATTTTTCCTATTTTTTCTTCTCCTTTATAAATTCTTCTCGCTTATACGTTGTAAATAATGACATCGAAACGGCGGAAATTGAAATTGTATACTGTTGAAATATCTATGAATAGGTCTCAAACATAATCTTTTTTCAATAATTAATGTAGGCATTCAATCTTTTTACTCTTGTGTTCGCGTCCGTTTAGAGATATTGGGTATATTGTCATAACAGTCAATCTATGACACGTGTAAAAATAAATCCTTTTGTTATATATTTGCCGACATTATTCCTATCTATTCCTATTTCTTTTCAATTAACTTTACCAGCAAGTAGGGCAAAACATGACAATGTGCATAAGCCTTGTGATGCAAAATAGATGAAAATAGATACCACAGCGTCAACTCACAAAGATACAAAATACCACAGCGTCAACACACAAGGACAAAATATACCACAGCGCCAACACACAAGGACAAAATATACCACAGCGTCAACACACAAGGACACAATATACAACAGCGTCATCACACAAGGACACAATATACCACAGCGTCAACACACAAGGACAAAATATACAACAGCGTCAACACACAAGGACAAAATATACCACAGCGTCAACACACAAGGACAAAATATACAACAGCGTCAACACACAAGGACAAAATATACCACAGCGCCAACACACAAGGACAAAATATACCACAGCGTCAACACACAAGGACACAATATACAACAGTGTCATCACACAAGGACAGAATATACCACAGCGCCAACACACAAGGACAAAATATACCACAGCGTCAACACACAAGGACACAATATACAACAGCATCAATATACAAGGACACACTTTACCACAGCGTCAACACACACAGATACCATATAACACAGCGTCTACACACAAGGAAAAAAAATAATAAAAAGTTAATAAAAAGCAAAAATATAATACTATACACTAGAACAACAAGGAACAAAATGTGTTTATACCATAAAAAAACAGGCAAGTATTCGTGTAATGATAACAGCGATATGCACATGTGTGTATTTGTATTGTGCGCTTGTTTGACCCTCGCTTGTTACACGTGACGTGATGGTATACACCAGAATTCCATTCAAAACATAACTGTTGGTCACTCATACGGTATTCAATGTATTGTAACTTGTTATAATATGAAATAATTTATTAAAACATGTCAAAGAATATTTGTTAACGTTTCAATAGTTTCATTCTCGTGTTTAAACAGAAATGTTAAATATTAATATGTTTTACTTTGAAAAGCAAATGGCAGTATCGCTTACTGTTTGTGCATTCATTTAGTTCCTAGCATTGTCACAGTTTGAAGCGTTTCTATATTGCTAGACCGCACTGTGATAATACCTCCGGGAGCATACCACGAGTAATAATTTTCGAATTAATTTGTAGATAGTGGAACTGATGACCATCAAACCATAGAAATCTATAGCGATATCCACCTCAGAGTCCTATTTCAGTATTGATTCTATCAATTATACAGAATGTCATTGTAATGGCAAAGATAATCAGTCATCCTCCTGTTTTAAATATAAAAAATACCAGCTTACAAAAAAAGTCAATTAGTAAAATAGCTATGTTGATATTGTCTAAATAGTTTTGTGATTGTGACATATTCTTTAAAAACTTAAATCTATCCCTGTTAATCTAAAGTGACTGCGGTGTTGAAATGAATAAAGGGTATTATATATTCTGGAATACATGAGACATTGATAGTTATCATTTTTATATTTAGTATCAGGGATGAATCTTAACTAGACGAAATGTTCACATGGTGGTGTTAATTTACTTTACTTCAGAGTTCCAGTTGTTGTGTTAAGAACGAATTTCTTTATTTCATGTTTACTTATGTATCAACCTTTTTAATATTTCTTAGGTGAGAAAAGACGTGTTTTTGAAAATACATAAATGTGACGATGCAGACAATCCAAACGAAAACTAACCATGGCATAATGTTATAAGTGTCTTTTGGCTTTTCAGTGTGTTCTTATAGGTCCGTGTGTACTGACGCGAGAGTATCCTTTTTCTGATTATTTTACTTTAAACACTGTGGGTAGAACTCTGGTTTTATGTAAGACACAATGAACACGCTGTGGTTGTATCACTGACATAAAGGTCAAGGTCATTGTAGTATCAACAGCTTGATCAAACATTTGGGGTGTGCCTGAAATATATAATTGATATGGGCCAATGACAACATCTTCTGTGCCAAAGATTTCACATTGTAGGTGTATTATGAAAAGCCAGAGACGAAACAGGGCAGATTATATCAGAATCAACGTAATCAACATGACACAAGAGGGCCTGTTTCAAGAAAGTGTCATGAAAGAGGCTTTGTGCGAAATTTATTATATTGAGAGCTATGATCGATGATAATGACGAGTGCCACTTCCGGTGATGGGGGTCAAGTCATGTCATCTTACATTGAGATTTGCATTAATTTATACAAATTAAATGTAAACATTGTTTGTTGGTATTATCCATTCACAGTACATAACATATAAAGCCTTATTTACCTTTATTTATCATTACGATCTTATGTTCTGCGAGATTTTAGATGTTTTATTTGGAATGAGATTTGTCAGTTTGGTATGAATAATTTATGATTTAATTTGAACACAAAGAGCAATTGAAACATTATTCGATTATTGTTTTTGCTTAGAACAAACTTGACATATTTTGATTTTTTATGTTTTTTTAATGAATTCCGTCTACACTATTAGACCATAAAGGGACAAACGACAGACAGCAGATAAATAAATTACATGCCAGGAAAGATGTCTCATCTTATCATGCTGCGGGATCCGTCAGGCCAATAGTCTTCTCACAAAGCAGCAGAAGTACGGTGTTTCCGACTTTCAAAACTCTGTGAAATACTTGACCTTGACCTTAACCTTCGTTCAACCTCCGTACAGGGTACATGTTATAAGGTTCGACTTAGGACGACATTTGGGGATTCTAATTCCCATGAAGTCGTCACTGCTGCCGGTTTTTTCCTTTTAGTAAAAAGAAAAGGCGTCATACGATATGATTCGATATCAAACAATCTCGTCGGCGTATAATCTGAAGTCGATTTGGGTCTCATTTTATTGCTTTTTAAATGTTTGATACACAGTTTATTCAATTCAATACATGAAAGTTCACCTTTTTTTATCGGAACTAGCCAAGGTTAGCACGATACTTGTGGAGTCACTGTCTTTATTCAACGTGCCGAATATCATTCATGAGGCCACCTCCAGGAAAGGTTTTTTTTATTCATACAAGGCATAGATGACCCGAATATCAGTTGATCTTGATAGCAAAACCATGAAGTGGGGGGCATTGATATTACTTCTCTCAAATAGATCTCCTAATAAGCACTTATTTTGAAGAGTGTTAGTTATCTGTTGGTCTGTATCCAAACCCGCCATGACAAGGCGTCTATTAGGGCATTATAAAAGCTACACAGTGATTTAATTATATTGGTAAAAGACACGAGAGGCGAGCTGACTCACACGGTCCTTTGTTTAGAGGCCAGTACAGATCATTAACACGCGAGGCTTTAGACATTTGCTAGGGCGTCTCATTTGTCTATATATAATACATGTTTATGTATGTAGCCAATATACAGTATATACATTAATATTCAATGGCTGTATAGCTATATATAAATACCCTAACCATTGTGTCTACAGTTACGTAGGCATCGGTTAATTCTCGATCTGAAGATAAAGCAATCGGGTGGAGTCGTACTGTGGGTCTCTACACCCTCAGAACTTGCTGTACATTGACGCATCAAAGACGTAAAATACAGCAGAGCGTTCTTGCCTCCAGCATACAACCTTATATATATATATATATATATATATAAATACAGAAGAAACAGCACTTGTTCATGTGAAAAACACCAATTCGGTTCAATAACTGTACTATAGGATTTAAGCATAGCTGACGAATATTGATGAGAAAGGATTTGTGTGTTTGCCATTCACTCTTAAGGTCAACCGACTATCACTGGGGTTTAGAATACACACAAAAGCGATAGCTTGTCGTACTGAAACATTGTGGACATTTGGCTATAATATGGATACAGCGATACGGGCCTAGGGACGGATAAGGCACCTTGTATAGATATTATATTGCAATTCGTGTGACTGGGAAATTCAATATGGTTTATCAGGTAATTTTCTACCTTTTATTGAGTTTTATATGATTTCCTTGTTAGAAATTTACTGCATGTAATTGGTTTGTAAAGTGAAAAAGGTGGAATTAGATTGACGCTGTGAGGAGAAATAGTAAGAGACTGTATGATATAGAAAACTGGAATATTGGTAGAAGCCTATTCTTGCCATTGATGTTAATGTATAATGATTTCGCTCTCGCTTTTTGAGTCATGTGCTGGGATCAATTGGCTGCGTTTTTCATGTAAATATTAGACGTAGCAATGCCAATTTAGTGATATTTGGAATTTACTGGAGGCTATGTAAGGTATTGTATTCGAAAATAATTTGATACATTTTTTTTATTTTTGCTAAAACTACATAAAATGTGTACTTTGTGACTTTGCTTGGGTATTTCGTTTTCTGACATTCTGAGCGATTCTTATTACGTAAATGTGGAACTGCACACCAGCGTAATTGACGATGTAAAATCCTAAGTTTTGTAATTCACATCGTGATGTATAATGCTAGTGTGCTTCATATCTGATCTTCATTTTCTATTTCATATCTAATCACGGTGACTAAGATTATGGTTAACCCATGTCATCATGATTCATGTTTCAATAATAATGCCTCATTAATGCCAAAGAAAATAATAATACTTTATTTATTCATATAAAGACGGAGCGAAGATGAGTTGGCCCAGAAATCAATACAGATTATTCCTATGTGATATCTTTACTTGGCAATTCGAGGAGAAAACATATCTTGTTTGTTTCTCGGTTACAAACAAACAAACAAATAAACAAACATTTTTTATGAGCTTAACTTGTATATTAGATTCATTATAAAGGCTTAAGCCAGACACCAGATGCGCGCGATCCTTGATACAGATTAACTTTAATTATTTAAATGACGAAAGTAAGTCAATATAAGGTAGATGTGATAAAGCCCAAGTGTCAAATATCACCCGGCGGAGTAATACCAGCTAGGTCTAGGTATAATGGATTCGATTGAAACAATCATAATGATGCAATTTTTAATATAATTAGAAGTCATTAATTTGATGATTTGATAGATATGTTTGTTTATGTTTTATGGGAGACCGTGAGTTGTGATACATTTCTATAAATGGAAATATTTCAAAGGTTATCTACCAAGGACGACATCGAAGGGTTTTTTCTGGTACTTAGTGTCATGATTCGCTACAATTTTATGTATTATGTATTTTTAAAACTTTTATATGAAAAGACGCTTTTCGATGATTTTTTCATATCTTGTTTCAATCGTGAAATATTAGAATTTTGGCTGACATTTTATCCCATAAAGTGTTGTAATGTATGTGTATGTGTATTTCTAGGTGCTGAGTAGCGCAGGTGAGGACTGCGGTGGGGTGGAAGAGCTCCAGCTCCTTAGTCCACGACGAAGAGCCAATCAGTTGATGGAACGTGTGAATGGTGACAATATGAGACCACCACAGCAGTCCCTGTCACCGAGATTGGACCACCAGACACAGAGTCACAGCCGCAAAATGGCGCTGAAACGCCCTGACCCCGGCACGGAGGAGTTCATGAGATTCATACGCGAATATCAGTACGAAAAACAACCAACAAACATTCGTCTACAGAAAAGGGCACCCCTTCCGGGCATTGGTGAAAGTATGCGCACAGGTGTGTCCTCAACCTTCGACAGAGCTTATGTCAATTCTCCGTATGACGATACTGTAGTGGACAATGAAGTGGCTTTTCTTAACAATAAGCCGGACCCACGTCAGGACCCGATGCTACAGGAAGTACTTACCTTAGCAAGGGAGAGAACTAAGGACCATATTATTCTCAGTTCGTGGAACGGTCACATGCCCAATGGGGGCCATCTCGGTTCTGAAAGCAACAGAAATAATGCTTTAACAAGGCAATCCAAAGACTTCGGCAGCAAATCTAATAAAGTACCAAAGACATTAAACGGAATTAGGCCCAACATGAAAAAAGTTTCTAAACAGTTACCTCCCATTCCGCGCGAGGATATTCCAGAACGGCCTTCCGCCCCATCACCATCTCTCACTCCGCCATATCCGAATAGTTCGGATGATAGTTTTGTAAATGAGGAGCCTGTGGAGTATCTCGACTTGTGAAAATGTGTTCTAGATGTTTCGATGGTCACTAAAAACTTAGTTTAAGTACTGCCAAAGGAATATATAAATTCATGACATTGAATAAACGAGACAAGTATTTGATATATTTCATATCAAGTTCTATTTGCGCCCGGAGCATACCCAACATTTAGTCATGACAAAAAGACATGAATGTTGTGTATACGAACATATCTTTAAACAGATGCACGTGAGAATGTGTATGTGTGAGATATAAAAAAAAACTAGGCACATGCAAGAACCATTCTGGGAAGAGACTAAATCTCACCGAAGTCGAGATGAAATGAACTGGTCTGACGAAAGCATATGTCATTGACTTCGTTAAACATTATAAGGACAAAATCTGTTAAAATCGAACAATTGTGTAATCCAGACCTAAAACGGATTTAAAGGCTACAGTACTATATTGTGATATAACCTTTGCTAATCAGAGGCTGTTAAGATTTAGACAGGTTTTGTTGTATACAACTGTTACATTGCGGTTTGTAGGAATACAGAAATGCCTACTTCATACGTGTGCATTGAAATGGTGTCATGACAGAAGGCCTACGCAATAACAGGTTAATAAGAAACTGCTTTGGTTCCATTCCAAATTAAACTCCAGTGTCATGATTAGCTTCGTGAATAACATTTAATGATTGTTCAATGTAATTAGCTGCCAATAGATTAAAGTGCCATATTGCTGTCTGCGGCAGGTGACTATTGTCCACACTGCGTCCCTGTTCCTGCCCTCTCTCCAAGTCCTTATCAAACTACCGAGCGAAGCCCAAAAACGGGTGAGAAATCATTTTAAAACATATCTCTGTTTAGTTGTTTACATTTTGAGAACACGTTGTCGTCCTTGCAAGGTTGAACATGCAATGTAAGCGCGAGAATGGTATCGATGAATTTGTCATGTCTCACTGTCCCGTAACGTTTTATTTTAGATCTGCATCAAACAGTCGATACCAATATCCTTACTCAGCTTAGAGAACTTGTTGTGATTGTAATAACATGCACGGTTTCATTTTAATAGCTTAAATTCGTCGATAATCAAAAAAAACTTTTCTCAATTATATATTTTCGAAAGAAATTGAAGTATCTGGCTTTTTAATTAAAACGATGTATATTGCTCGAATGAGGATATTTAAATAATTTACGTTGATATGTTGGTATATGTTCGTTCATGATTTGTGATATATGACACGGGTTTTTTTATAACTGAAACCCAAAGATATAAGTGTGTTCAAATTTGGCTGTAAATCTTGTCTAGCTGTTCCAGGTCCGATCTTGTTTAGAGGTTTATGAACGTGTTTATGTGTGTCAGGTGTCAATACACCTGTACGTACTGCCATGTCCCTGTAGTAAGCGCGCTACTGGAGTAGAAATGTTACATAAACCATTGATCATTTTGTCATGATGTTATCAATCTATAATAAAACCTTTGTTATACTGCCACCGTTTGCCCAGCAAAGTTTTGATATAAAGGGGTTTGACTATATGAAGAAGAAACATTCAGAAAAAAATGTAAGGGAAGGGGGTTGATTACATTGACGGTTAATCAAGTGGCAAATGAAATGAATGGCATTATATAGAGGTTTTATTGTAGAGTGTATCCTTATCTTGCCTTCACATGTGTTACTGCAGTTATGATTGAATTTTCTCAGGGAAGTTGAAAGTTCTTCGCATTTGTGTCATGTCATCTTTTTCTACAGACTTCGATAATAAAGAAATATTTATCTAGTACCTGTTTTCTTGTTTTCTATGTCGGTTGATACACTTAGTTCTTCCAGTACCTAAGAACATAATCGACATTGTGTACAAAACCGCCTATGGAAAAGGAGGAATTCATCACAGAATCTATGTAATTTTGCTAGAAAGATAACATGATCTAGTTGTATACATCTTTATTTCATTATGGATGCGTTGAATCAAATTATTGTGGTGGTTTTTCAAATTAATTTTTATAAAAAATAAATTGAGATGCATAAACATATTTGTGTATGTTATCTGAACATAATTATTTTGAATCCAAGGACATGATTATTTTGACCCCATTAATAACTTAAAAATATTAGTGAATAAAATATACCGAGTTACCGTTAACTCAGTGTATCGTTAACGTAATGAAGATTGCAACGCCATTAGTGTCTGTATGTATATTACAGGTGAGTTTAGTGGAGTCTTTCGATAACAAGTTATGGACATAACTGAATAGGATAAAGATCTGAATTCATTTTCCAAAATCTTTGATAAAGAATTTCTTAAAACTTGAATACTTTCTTGAAGCAGAATCAGAACATTGATATTCGTAGTTATTCAATAGTTATGCCAGCAGTAGTCAGTTTCTTTATCCCGAATCCTGACGAATCAGTTATTGACTAAGAGAATTGTTATAATTTGGATATTTGCGCAGATAACAAAACTATACCAAATATGTGAATTTGAAGTGATAATCTCAACAATACAGAAAGCGTTGTACCCCAGCGTCAATATCAGAATTTAAAGATGATACGAAAAAACATCAACAGGAATGGAGGAACAGCAAAACCAAAACAAAACATTTAATGGCAAACCAAGGTGCCTCGGGAGGTTCCTTCCTCCACGCGTGGCACCCATTATGACGTATTCGGATAAATTCAGAAATATATAGGTTGGTCACCTAATATAAGAAACATAGATAAAGTGACACGGTATTGAACTATTACAGACGCTGAAAGCTGTAAATCTGACCATGATAACCGGACCCTTTTTTCAGCGTAAATTGACATGTTGATACCTTAGCACGCTCTGCGCTAATTGATTAACTGTGATAGGTAAACTCACCATTCACGGGAGGACAATTTGATGTTACAGAGCAATGGAACTTCTTTTATTAAAAAGTTTATTTGTTTTACAACTAATACACCAAGCGTCTCTGCGGCCATGTGTTTTATTTTACTTTGTCTAATATTATAAGATTTCATTTCAACATTTCAATACATGTCTTTATTGGTGTGACCTTCTTTTAAAATGTACTTTTCAAATATCTATTTTGATAAATAAGTATTATACGATTTGTATTGATAATCAGTAGCGTTGAAAACAAATTACTATGTAACATCATACCTCACGTAGGGGAATTTACATTCGGTCGAAAATAAGAAACAGATACATTGTTTCATTTAAGCGAATATCAAAGTTAATTACGTTTGAACGATAGTAAAAAAAAATGTAGCAACCTATCTCTGTATGCATTATATAAATATTGTTACTGTCACATACAGTATAAAGCCAACTTCGTTGTTACGAATGCGGAAGTCTCGGACATCTAGTGTATCGTGAATTGTCTTGGTCTGAGTTCGAGATAATAAGGTACAACTGATATTGATTGATAGTGTAGAGGAATTGCAGATAAACCTTACTCAAAATTTCTTTTGAATTCATATATCGAAGACTACCCACACAGAACTCTTATTAGTAAAGACTTCGGCGCTTATATCATTATAAATTTACGAACATAGGCTAAGATTCCAGGAATCAGCCCTACAATCAGTTACCAAACAGTAGATATCCACATGACTTTCTTTGTCCGGGAATTTTAATCGTTTTGTGAAATACATAACCGGATTTGTTCCCTTTCATGTACATAAAATGATTTGTAGTAATCAACGCATACCTCTTTATTGATGGGGAAGTGTTTTACATTCAATTAAAAAGAAACACCACAACTATCGTTGAATACTTTCTAGTTGAACAATGTTCTTAACATGAGCATGACATGCAAAGCCAAAGAAGAGAACATTACTCCCGAGCTGATGGTTAAATGAACGCTTTCAACTCGTCAAGAATAAGTACCATACTATGGACGATATAGCAAACTGCACCAACCTGTCACATGCACACATTCTAATTAGGTGACAAAAACACAGTCTATGTGATAGGTTTACAAATTGACGATTCACCATTAGAGGAAACTACTTTTATCTCGACAAGTACATATCTCAGCTTTAGAAAACAATTTTTTACAAGTGTCAAGATTTACAAACTCGGCGTAAAAAATGTGTATCGATTTCGAAATGGCAAGTGGTGCTTTGTTATTAAGACCAAAGATTATCTTGTCCAAGGACGAAACTTAATAGAAGACATTGCTTTAATTTCATGGTAAACAGAAAGTACTGAGTTGAATTTACGCTCGCACTGTGTGACCCAACGATCGTTGTGCAAGCTATCACATTAGTCTCGCGTTTCGGAATGTCTCCCGTTTTTATCGAAAAACAATGTAATCTGTTTTGTTCCGATTCACAACGATCGGGCCTGTAGCTTAGAACTTATGCTATTTCTGTTTTGGGGTCAACTCTTGTCAATTAAGGGGGTAGAATTAAAGCACGCAGTATCGAATGGTAATCTGCACAATTTATGACGTAGACACGAATATTGGCCTCGATACTCATGTCAGATTGGGCAACAGTTACACCTAGCCCGTCATAGCTAGAGTTGTGCCATTTATAGACCGTAAAATTGTCGTCCCCAGTAGCCCGCCCTGTAGGCAGGAGCTGACACAAACCCGTACGATCGCGATGTTTGTTTCTCGCGTTACCTACAAGCCCCCACTTTGCCTACGCATTAATCATAAAATATAGCTGTGGATTGAAACAGAAGCATTTTTTTTATGATACTATCAATAATGTTGCGTTGATTTTTTAGCCCATGATATATTGTTTGTAAATATTCCTAATTAAAATCGACATTTGTATGGTTTTCGTGAAGGAAGATTTCGTATCAAGCTGTGTAAACTTGGTTTCTTCACCCGTACTAGTCGCAGTGTGCAGAGGCATGTACAAAATACTTTGGCAGATTCTTATCCAATTAATTAGCATGTTACATAATGTAACTAATCATCCATTACTTCTGACAAAATCTATAGAGCTTTAAGTTTTAGTATAACTCTCAAATTAAATGATATTTTATCGTAAACAATGTAATTTCATAATTGGTATTGCATAACATTTATCTATTTGATCCTTTAGGGAGCAATTTTGTTCCGATAGAGAAGAAATACATTACCGTCGACAATTATGTGAAATTGAGTTCAGGTTGACAAGCAGCACCACCTGAACACGAGAGACTGCATTATAACAGGGACGAGACATTGTATTGAAACAATGTGTACAACAAACAACAACGGAGGGTTTATAAAATTAATGAAATTCTCAAATATTTCCTCAGAGGTTCGTACCGCTGCATAATTTGCCTATCGTTTTTCCATTTGATTATAAATAATTGAATATAACTGAATTTATAGAACATGCAAGAGAAGCATTGTTTGTCAAACAATGTCAATTTCAATTCGTTAATCTGGAATTTGGTGTTACGTATCCGTGATGGATCAGAGTGGAGAATAATATTGTTGATATACATTTGATCATATCCTTAACTTGCTACAGATTTCTTGTTTATTTGAAATAAAATTGATTGATTTTATCACGAACATTTGTTTTTAATTTAGCCGTTAAGTTACTAAGGTTACATGGCTAAGTCTGGAAAGACGCCGGTCTTTCGCTGAACAACTTCCTATCATACTGTTGTACATTTTTACCGCTGGGTATTCATTAGATTAGTCAGAGCGGACTGGCCATGGTCAATGATACTTCGAACCTAACAAACATATTATATTCATACTCATACCATTTAAGTCTGTACCGTAGCAAAAAAAGCCAATCACTATTAGCAATTAAATATCATATATGTCAAATAACAATGTTTAGCAGTACAAAAAGCTACAAAGCATTCATATATATAATGTAGTCAACGTAAGAATTTGCTTTATTTTCATTTATTTTCCGTTTACTGACAACTGTTAGAGAGAAAAAGACAAATCTTTCCAACATGATTTATCCCATTGCAATGGCAAATCATTCATCAAAATAATGATGCATGGAAGTCAAAACGAGCTTAACTGCTTTCCCGCATGTATTGTAGCCCAGTTATTATTCCGCCTTTTTTATGAGAGAAACCACATTTCTTTTACTGATACAATACTCTTTCAAGAAATGCCTTTTATCTTTTGGAAAGAGCCAACTCGGGGTAACGCGATAATTTTGATATCATTTAAAATCCATATCACATCTTTTACATCATGGATATATGAACATGTAAATGCCCATGTAGTTTAAACGGCGGTAAGTAAAGACGGGACTCGACCTGCATATATGGGAGCCTAGATAACTCGAGTCGTTAGTGTAAGATATCAGGGAGGATTTGATCAAAGGGGAAGAGGTTTCATATCTACCCTGGGTAGACAACCTTTACGTGTACACATCAAAACTAATGAACCGTCACCGGACAAAACAATCGTCACAATACCTCAAAATCGTTAAATGGTCTTAGAACAAATGAGGGCGGCTCAGACAATACACAGATTTAAGTTGACATGAGGTCACTTTAATGTACCCGGTGTCCTTAATTACATCGACGGTGTAATTGGATATCTTTTGGTTAAAAATGTTTGTTTCGTGGTTTTAAAAACAAAACATGTGTCCCCTGTCGATGTAAATATTGCCTGCCATTGTCGGATGTCTGTCCCCTGACACACCTGTCGGAGGGAGGGATTGAGGAGATTAATTCATGTCTTTAAATGCTTTTTTTTTTTATCTTATCTTCAATCAAAAATAGATACATACACGATATTCTAAATTTAAAAAATCGGCACCCGTTTTATAGACCTTAGATCGTTAATTGATTGGTTGCATTCAGGAAATAAAT